TCCTACAGGCCTCTCTTTGGAGCCAAATGGTCCTCCTGTCGGTGAGGAGCGAAGTTGAAATGCAGTTGTGCCGTCAGGTATCTGTGCTGACCGTTGGTCGGAATCTATGGTCATTCTTTTCCTTCTGAATCAAATACAACACTTTCTTAGAAGAAGTTATTTAAGAACAAGTAAGAGGACGTAACTGTGGACTAATAATTTATACTTCTATAATCCAGATCCAAACTGGACAAGTAAGAAAGAGACAAATGTATAGAGTTTTGTTTCATTAATGTTTGAGCTGCTGGAAAGGTGACCATAGATAGCAACAAGATGATAAAGATTTAGGCACAAATGAAACTGCCTTAGCAACACGTGGGGAGAGAGGAACGGGGCAGAGCCCGGGCCCCCGGCGTGTCTTTTCCTCCCTCCACTGGAGGAAGGGATTGTCTGCGTGTCCCTGGAGCCTGCCCAGGGTGCCTAGCCCAGAACCACTGTGTCCTCGCTCCTGCTCGGAGCCGAGAAAGAGGACCCAAAACCAGGCCCCAGGCAGGCGCAAGGGCACGGAGAACCGGGGAGCTCTGCCTGAGTCCTGCCTGAGTCCCGTGTGCTGCCGGCGCTGTCCCCGCTGGCTCCTGGGGCACCGTCCATGGTTGTTTTTTAAACCCCAAATGCTCAGCCCCTCGGCCCAGGGCTCTGGGTGTCCACAGCCCCTTCCTAGAGGGAGAAGAAGTTAAGCTACTCGGTGAGACCAAAGTCCACGATGTCTCGAGGCGTCAGCTGCTTCTTCGGAGGTCCCCGAGACACGAATGAAAACGTGCCCAGGGACCCTCCGTGCAGCGTCCCCTCCCAGAAGGACAGGTGAAGGGCAGACAGGGTCACTAGGTGAATTTGCTTTTTGGAAACAATTTTAAAGGAATTCAAATTCCACTCGCTGCTTGCAAGGGTTTTGTGAGAAAAGCCTCTTGCACGCCACACCAGAGACTGCACAGCTGAATTCTGAAATCCAGGATGGTGAGAGATTCAGTTTTTTTTTCTGAAGATAAATACATTGAAAGAGATGTCATCTCTTGTATTCAAAGTTCCTTTAAAAGTTTCTTATACTAGTCAAAGAAAAGAAAAGAGAAAGTAGCCCAGCAGTTCACGTAATTGAAAAAGAATTATTTATTCCAGGGAGGAGAGAGCGGGGTCTGCAGCTTGTGTTCAACCCACCGACTTCTAATCCGCAATCTAGTCATTTCTACCTGGTATAATTTGGATGCAGTTGTTCACCTAAGTTTCAAAATTGTAAAGTTAAGTAGAAATGGAAATTGTGGAATTTAAGTCTTCATATTCAAAATTAGTATCTTTCCTTTGACTTGATTTGATATTTTAAAAAATGTGTAAGACACTGTAAGGAGAAATATCCAAAACCTGACAGCTGTTGTAAACGCGAAACATTTTTGTCTTAGAGAATGTTGCCGGGGGAATGACGCTCGTCTTCGTGAGAGGCTTGCTCTAAGTGATCGGGGCCTGAACTTCCTCCAGCTCTTCTCGGCAGTCTCTCCGCCTGTCGTTGGGAATGCGGCCACTTAGTCCTCCAGAGCTCGGTTTACCTACATGGGGCCACCCATTTGTGTCTGGAAAGTGGTAAAACGGGGAGAAAACAGGCAGGGTCACATTAGACACAGCTACGACTCTGAGGACCTGTCTCTGGCGCTGTTCACCCGTGTTCAATAAAGTCATTGTTGTCACAAAGAGAGCCCGGAGTGTCGAAACAAGGACTTAACTTTAGACCAAGTCTGTTTGGCATCATTATTTTTAAAGCTGTTTCGAGCAGAGGTTTACTGGGCCGGCAAACTCAGCTGTTGAGCGGCTCCCCACCCTCAGCACCTGAACCCAAGAGGAAGTTCCAGCCTGGCTGGGGCAACACAACCCGGCACTCAGACAGGGCTTGAATAGTGTGGCCGACGCTGCTGTTTAGGGAAAGGGGACACCTAGATGCTGTCACTTAAATATACGGTTCTTTTTCCTTCCCTGCGGCCACGCACCCTCCCCTAAGGCAGCTGTTGGCGGTGGGGGCCGTGGGAGACTCCTTCGTTTTTCCTTTTGTGAAAATGCCGGCCTCAGTCTACCCGTGAAGCCACCCGGCCCGCGGTCGGAGCGAGCGCCCGAGGGGCGCACAGCGAGGGGATCATGACCGGGGCGCGCCAGCAGCAGGCACAGGCCCCGCGAAGGGCGCACAGTGCAGCAAACGCGCAATTGCAGTGCCCCCGGAGCGCGCAGACGCCCCGTTCCCACCGCGGCCTTTGTCCCAGAAAGTCCCGGGCCCCGCGGACCAGGACCCGACCAGGAACCGCGCGGCCCCGCGTCTGGCTGATCAGGCCTTTTGTGCCTCTTGGGAGGGTCGTAAACGCGGCGGCAGCTTTTGTGTGCGCCTCGCACGGGCGGGGCGGCGGGATTTGGAGACTTTTGCGCGACTTCTGTTCCCCTCGTCGGGGTCCCCTTCAGGTGGCGGCCGGTCGGGGAGCCCCGACCCCTCCCCGGCCCGCCAGCAGCACTAACAGCGATTAATTCCGCCTGCGGCTCAAAGTCCCAGCAGCCACGGCGCTGCTGCCGCCCGTGTCCTGGGCGCGCCCGCCTGGCGCCCTCCTTCTGGGGGTCCCGCTGCAAGGGAGGGGAGGGGGTGTCCGTGGCTGATCGCGCCAGACCCTCCCACCCCCGCTCGGGACGCCATCCGCGCTCGGGGGACGTCCCAGGCACCGGGGGCCCCAGGAGCCAGCGGGCAGAGCAGTAGGTCGGGCGGCCCTTGGAGAGGGGTCGAGATGGAGTGAGGGGTCTCCGGATTCCCTGCGGTTCTTGAAGGGGAGGGGGGCTGGGCGCCCTCAGAGCCGGGGGATCGGGGTCCCGGGTGGCCCTGATGAGCCGAGCTGAGGAGCAGAGCTGTGGGCGTGTGGGGTCCTCAGAGGAGGGTCCCCGGGAGGCTGGGTGCCCCTAGGAGCTGGTGGGGACCCAGGAGGTCTGGCTGCCCCCGGAAGGGGTGGGGGAAGGGAGCGGCTGGCCTCCGCAGCTGGAGTGGAGGGGGCGGCCCTCGGAGAAGACAAGGCGGAGCATGGAAGTGGCCACGCCCCCCCATACCCCCACCCCCGCGCCCCAGCCACCGGGCAGCCTGTCCGGAGGACGTTTGGCCAGCCAGGGTGGGAGCCACAGGGCCAGGCCTACGGTGCCCCACGGGGACCCTCGAGGAGCCCCAGGTATGCCGGCCACCTGGCCACCTACCCCAACTCTGGGACCAGGGATGTGAGCCAGGCCCGGCATTAAGCATGCGCTTGCTGCATACGCCCCCTTGTTGCCCAGAGGAGGGCGGGACTGTTTCTGGTTTATTGATCAGAGGTCACCTGGGCTTGTCCCTGGGTGCTTCTCCCCATCTAGCACCTAGGGTCCGATTTTGAAATTCAGTGGCTAAAGTCTGCTTTATTTTTTTTTAAGAAACAGTTATTCAGCCACTGTGTGACTTTTTAGATACGATGGTACAAAACTGGGGTCCTAATGATGGGTTTAGTTAGGGACGTTAACAGGGTCCAGTTGCTACTCTCCATTTTTAAATCTCCTCATTATTTTAGCAACTTACTTGAGAATAATTGCCAAATAAAACAAGTGCTGCCAGCTACCGCATGAGAGAACTCCACTCACCAGCAAGATACACGGCGCACGTGTGGGTGTTTCTGCTCTGTGATGTCAGGTGTCACCCGTGTCCTTTTGGGAGTGTGTTGGTGCCACCCTGGAGTTAGCCGGAAGTGGCGGTTTATAATGGAGCCCACAGCCGTGGGGGAGGGGGAGGCAGCGCGCTGAGCTCCGTCTCTGGGGAGCCAGGGCCAGCCACTAGGGAGCCTGGCTGGCCAGTGGGGACAGGAATGTCGCCCACAGCAAGGACGGACATCTCCCCGCAGTCCCTGGGGACACTCCCCTTTCTGAGTCTAGACCAGCCCTTTTCCCTGGGGGAGCCCGAGCTCCAGGCCTCCCAGGGGCAGGTACGCTCCTCCTGGGCCTCTGCGGCCTCCCAGCCAGTCCTCTGGGCAGGCCCTCGGGTTCCTGTAATCTCTGTGGTCACTGTCGTCAGCATGTAGCCAGACACCCATGTGCCGGGGTGGGCAGCGATTGCCCTGAGAGAGATGCACCCTCCATCCAGCGGTTCCGGACCCAAGATGCCCTTCCTGGGGCTCCCCTTCCTGAACTGTCCCAGACGGCCTGGCCTCCCCTCCCTACACTCCCCTCCCAACACTCCCAAGGTGTTTTCTTCACCTTGACCCGATGTCAACACCCCCAGGATGACTGCCTTGTTTCAGGAGACACGTTGGCACGCTACAGCTGACGTGGCTCAGAGCAGCGCTGCTCAGAGCTGGACACCCCAAGTGTAGTTCCCTTGGACCCCAAGTTTTACTCCAGACTAAAGAATGTACCCTGAGCCCACCTGTTCTCAGGGTGTCCCCATCTCAGACCTTGGCCTGGGGGGTCAGCCGCCAGGCAGCAAGCCTGCAGCAGGCACTCGCCACTGCCCCCCGACTTCCCTGCCCTGTGACCTGACCCACTGCTAGGACTCAGCTCTGGCCACTTTCGGAAACAACCAAATTCACTCTACACGCCGAGCTCCCCCTCACCCACCCAGCCCGGCAGCAGAGCGTCTCATTTACACACACAGGCTCTAACGGAGGAAACTCGAGAGCCGCCCAGCTGCACTCCCGATGAAAGAGCGGCTCCTGCTGAGTGTCCCCAAAGACACTCCCTGGTTGGGAACTTTGATGGGGACCCTCACCTATTTAATGTTGCACCCGCTTTATCAAATCCCAAAACTGGATAAAATAAATTCAAAGGGGACTCAGTTCCTTTTGAGCACATTCTGCAAAAGTGCCCGAGGGGACCCCCTTAGCGGCAGTGAGAAGACAGGTCAGGTGGCGGGCGCGTGGGGCTGAGTGTGCACAGGGAGACTTTCCGGACCCCGACGGACGGCAGCGCTCACCTCTCCCTCCGGTCTCTCCTTCTAGATTTACTATAAAGTCATCAAGGACGTCGAGCCCGGTGAGGAGCTGCTGGTGCACGTGAAGGACGGCATCTACCCGCTGGGCGCGGCGCCGCCCGGTCTGGACGGTAAGCCCCTCCCGCCCCCCCGGGAGGACCCAGGGACTCTCACCGCTTTATGCCCGTTTGTAGCTGGTGGCTGCGCCAGGGCTTTGCAGCAGAAGCACCTCCGGGCACCTCCACCTACGGGCTTCCTTTCTCCCTCCTCAGGGCGTAGGAGTTTTACCCCAAATTTAAGAAGGGTTTTGGGCAAGCAGGCGAAGTGCTACCATGTTGAGTTACATCTCTGTGGTGTTAGAATCCTAGGTGAATTTTTTTTAAAACTATATTATTATTATCAGCAGCAACAGCAGCGTCCTTTGCTCTTCCCAGTACTTAAACTAACAGCCGAGAGGCACGAAATCAGTTTCATAGCTTGGAGGCATTTTCGGCCGCTGTGAACTCTCCTTGGTGTGAGATGTTTCCGTTTTATTTAAGAGGAAGGTGATGGCATATGTATCTTTTAAAGCGATGTGCATCTGAAGATCGCAGTCCAGCAGAAATGTTGGAAGCTTACCCGGCAAGAGGGAATACGTGGGATCCGGGTCGGGTCTCGTGGTGGCGGCCGGCCACCAAGCTCTTCCGCACAGGGCTGCACGGAGCCCTCGGAATGTCCCTTCCTCTTGGTTTCTCTCGTGGTGTCTGCTGAGGAGGGCGCGGCAAGGGGGTTTCTCTTCCTCGTTGCTCTGCACCAAGTACACCTGAGAGAGTGCGGAGAACGGTCCGGTCTCACACGGCTTTTCTGAGATACAGACTTATTTCCCTGCCCCCACCCTGTCGACTGGAGCGGCGGCTGGGGAAGGCTCCTTGGGCAGTGCGGGACCGAGCCGCCAGCCCCGCTGAGCCGGTGGCTGCAGGGTTCGCGTCCAACTTCTTTTCTTTGGACGAGACCCCCACATAACGGAGCAGCAGCCTCCCCTTCGAGCCGTTTCCGGAGCTGGCGACTCCAGCTCGTGCTGGAGAAAGGCAGGCGGTTGGAGTCTCCCGTCGTGCCTCCTTGCCGTCCTCGCAAGCACACCGGGACTCACGGCTGACATCATTCACGGCACGTTCCTCCCAGGACCCACTCTCATTTCACGGTGAAGGAGTGGCGTTGCCTCGGCCAGGAAGCTGGCCCTGGCATTAGCAGGGAGGCTGAGACCAGACACAGAACTCTGCCTTAATTTACCTTTTTGGTTGCCCAGTGTGGCCCAGAATCAGTGTGGCCCCTTCGCGCCATAGCGCCTGATGTCCGTGAGCTGTCCGAAGGGAAATCGCCTCAGAAGGACGGTTTTATGAGCCGGATCCTGTCTGTACTCTCCTCTAAAGTTTGGTTTTAATTAGGCCGTTGAGAAAAGAAAAATAAATTGCCGAGATCTGGGCAGCAGGGGGGCGAGGTCTCGTTTTCCTTAGAACAATTGTTGAACAGACCCGCGTGTCTTGGATAACCCGGGAGAGCGCCAAAGACAAAGCTGCTGGACGTGCGGAGAGCGCTTGACCGAGGAATTTCATTTGTGTAATGAAATTTCTTTCTTCCAAAAGGTTTTTCTAAGAAAAACCTCGATTCCTGCTCTCCACCCTGCTCCAACCCCCGATATTAAATAGCCAACATCTACATTTTCCTAATAATTTATCAGACGTTTGCGGGCTAATTGCTTTCTACACAGAACAGTCCAACATCAAATATTTGACTTTTCCTGCCCTTTTCTGTCAAGGTCGTGCCTCCGTGGCAGCCCCCCCCCCCCCAGTTAAACTCTGAATCGCACAGAAAGAAAATACAAAAATGTTCCTCACTAAGATAATTATCATAAAAATCTTTTATCCAGACCCCGGCCAAATGGAGCCAGCCCCTTATCACTGCAGGGATTGGAAGAAGCTCGGGGACTTTGCTGAGCCCCCGGTCTGGGAGACCAGCACGTAGATGCCACGTAATTGCGAACCCCTCAGCTCTCCCGGGCCATTAGGTGCGGATGTATTTTTCTGTTGCGTTCCTGCTCTGTCCTGAAAGTTGCTGATGGAACTCGAGACAGACAAGCGAGGCACAGACCTGACAAACGCAGGGCCAGCCGCGTGGCGTGACTTGAGTTGGTCGCAGGGGGGAGGCAGAGTGAGAGCCCCAGCCTGCGCCAGACTCCAGTGCGGAGGGTTCGTTTCCAGCCACTAGTTTTTGTGCTCGGCTGGGGACTGCGCCCAGGTATTGTGGACGACATGGAGGGCCTGGCTGCCAGCCCATGGGGCAGAGTAGAGCGTGTGCCCTGCAGTGCTGGGGCTGGAAGGTTCCTGCAGAGCCACAGTTCTGCAAAGAAACGCAAGCCTGTTTCTCACCCAAGTGCTGCAGACCGGAGGGAAGCCACGTTCAGATCCCTCCCGGCGACTGATTTTGTGTTTATGCTACGGTGGAGAGGGGAAGAGTTCTCTTTCTGAGAACTTCTCGCTCTTGGGAGAAAATGAAGAAAATCATTTCCATTCAAATATTGTTTGCTTTTTGGAAAGGTTTGTAATGATTCGCCCTTCCTCTCTGCAAACGAGGGCGAGAGGATGCAGTGAGCGCGCTTTGTGCAGACGTGTGGGACGGAGAGAGTGCGCTAGGACGCTACACGCTGCTGCGATAGGGCAGATTCTTTCAGTATTTCTTTACAACAGAAATTCTCTGTGCTGGGAGCCATGAGCTGTGCCCGCCCTTCCCGCCCGCTCCCGTGGGCCCTGGGGGTGTATCAGGGCCGGCCTATCTGCCTGGAAGACACCTGGGAGACTCGTCCACAGCCCTCGGCACCAGCCTGTCCTCTGTCCTTTGACGGGGCAGACTTGAGTCCATGCAGTGAAGGGGGCGGAGGAGAGGGGGCCACGTTCGTCTCCAAGGTTGGTCCCACCACCTCCGGGGACCCTCGCATGCCGTCAGAGTGAAAATCAGACTGAATTCTCATTGGAAATCCAAAAATTTTCATTTTAAATCCAAATTCTAAATGAGAAGTGGAAAAATAAGTTGGTCAGTCAGTGGTTGTGTGGGTGGGGTTGGCACTTCTTCTTGTCTTTGTTCCCAAATTTCAACTTCTATGATTGTTCTTCGTTGGGTCCAAAAAGACTCAAACAAAAACTGGCATTTCTAACTTAACCGCGATGCTGGTGGGAGGCCCCGTCTCAGCCTCCGTGCAGCCCGGGAAGTTGGAATGAGCCCGCAGGCGGCTTTAAGGGTCTGCGGTTGGCTCTGTCCCGAGACGGTGTTCTCAGCACTCGGGGACTCGCTCCCTGGTGAAAATCCGAATTTCTCAAAACAGGGAAGGGCTGCAGAGGGGTTGAGGGTGGGCGCCCTGCGTGCTGGCTCTCTCACCTTGCTTTTCTCGCAGCCCTCGGTGGGAAATCGGGGCCGCCGGCCCTGCTTCGGGGTCCCTGAACGGTGGGGACTCCAGACTCACTGTTCTGCCTCTTCATGTGAATTCATCAGTCTCTCCCAGCCTCAGTTTACCTGTTCTGAAGCAGCATACAAACGCTGGTGCCCCGGACTGGTGCGAGGCTTGCGTGCGTGAATCCCGCTGAGCTCCCAGGACAGGGCCTGCCACACGGGCATTCCCAGTAGCCTCGGGAGTCAGCGTGGCCGCTCCGTGTTTTCCCGGTAGACACTTGTCCTGCAAAGCGTTCGCAGATGCATTGTATTCCAAGGGCAGCATTTTGTAGACTGGCAGTGTGTTTATTTATTGCCTGCCTCCTCCCCATGCCACATGTCATGTCCAAGGTTCCTCCTGGCACTCAAGGGTGAGCCCACCCCAGAGGGGTTTGGTTTGCTCAGCAGGTGTCTGGGAAGCTCCGCCCGTGGCCTTACCTGGAGACGTCTGGATGGGGCCTTCCAAGCCGGGAGGGCAGGGCTGAGGTGTGGGGTCCACAGGTCCTGGGCATCCCACGGCTTTACTCCCTTTAGCGTCTTGTTTTCCCCCAAATGAGGGCTTTCCAAAGGCTCGGGGCGGCGAGCAGGGCCAGGGCGCCTGGACACGGGCTGATAATCAGGTCGTGGTGTTTGGTGCATCATGACCAGCAGCGGTGCCTGCCCAGTCGGCCCCAAACACACACGTGTCCAGGGCTCCTCTTGGCCTTCCAGATACTCCCCGCTGTCCAAAGACATGACAGAGAGCCACATCTGGCCAGCGTTCAGGTATCTGAGTGGCGCCATCCTGTGTGCTCGGCCGCAGCGTATCGGAGCCGGGCCCCCGCGTGAGTCTCCACCTGGGGCATCTGCGATTCGGGCTAGGGGGCTCCAAGTGCACACCAAGAGGGGTGCTGGGTGTGACCCAGGCCAGATACGGAGAGTAGCTCTTAGGCACAGGAACCTTCCAGGCAGCAAGGAGGTGACGCTTCTGGGTAACCCCGGCGCTGCCCAGGCTGCAAAGTGGCTCACCCTCTGCTTGGGACTCGGAAATGGTCCATGGTTGCCGTGGTCTCTCTGATGGGGGGAGGGGACAGAAGGCGACATCCTCTTCCATCTGTGCCCCCGGCCCCTGCCTCTCAGCCTCTACACCCAGGGTTCAGGCCGATTTAATCAGGCTCTTCTCCATGCTGGACACCAGGCCAGTCCCGGCATGCGCACACACCCAAATTCGCATTCACACATGCACACAAATGCACATGAACACACATTCGCACAGAAAATGCACATTACCACATGCACAGATACACTCCCATAACACACTCATGCACACACAAACGTGCACACATATTCATGTATGCACAACTGCACACACATTGGCACATACAAACACGTGCACACAGTGTGCATATTCACACATTCACATGCACAGATGTGCACGTAAAAACACTGTCACCCATGCACACAAACATAAATACATAGCATGCACACATGCATACATAACATACAAACACACATGCACACAGAAACACATGCACATTCACTTGAGCAAAGCATGCACATACATGAACACACAAATGTGCTCTACCCAAACATGCAGGCACACTTGCACACATGCACACACAAACCACATGTGTGCAGGTGTGGAAATATGCCAATGCATACAAATATTCACACATGTGTGCACATACAGAAACACATGCACACACATTCCTATACATGCACATGAGTACGTATGTGCACCCACACAGACACACATTCACACAAAGATGCACAACTGTGGATGCAGATATGCGGGAACATTCACACTTATGTGCACACATTTGCATGTGCACGCATAGCTGCACGCTCGTACACGCGATGCACACATGCATTTACACCCTGGTGCACACAAGCACACTATGCATGTTCAATTCACAGGGGCAAGAGCTGTTCTCTTTCCAGACTGAGGTGGGACACAGGGTCTTGTGGGGGCCCCGCTCCAGGTGGGAAGCTGCTGTTCAGTGGCTGCAGGCAGGGGGGCCGGATGAGCCCAGAAGCCTCCCCACCAGGATGACAGCTCCAGGCCGATTGTTTGGCTTGGCACCGTGGTCAGGATGCTGCCTCGTAAACGTAATAATAGCTGCCCCCCTTTAATTTGTTTGACCTTGATGACAATAATTTATTATATGCATTGGAGCTCTGTCGTCCTTTCTCTCCTAATTCATAAACAAAGCACTTGGCCGGGCTTCCTTCTACTCTCCCGAGCGTGGGGCCTCCTCAGCCCGCCAGGGCCGCCTGAGACAAAGGCAGGACTCGGGTGTAGCTCGGCGTCCCCATGAGGCACAGATCGTGTCCTTGGGCACTGCCCGGGGCTCGTCCCTGTGGTCTGCAGGGCCCGGGGCAGCCTTGGGGGTCGGGACGAGGGCTGGCGGGAAGCGCAGCGGGAACGGCTGGCACAGGCTCTCGGGCTCGCCGGCCACCTTGTCCTCTGTCTTGCAGAGGAGCCCACGTTCCGCTGTGACGAGTGTGACGAGCTCTTCCAGTCCAAGGTGGACCTGCGGCGCCACAAGAAGTACGCGTGCGGCTCGGTGGGAGCCGCGCTCTACGAGGGCCTGGCGGAGGAGCTCAAGCCTGAGGGTCTCGGCAGCGGGGGCGGCGGCCAGTCCCACGAGTGCAAGGACTGCGAGCGGATGTTCCCAAACAAGTACAGGTGCCGCCTGCCGGTCCCCTCGCCCCTCCTCCTCCCTGGCTGGCCTTTGGTCCCCGGCCCCACCCACCCTGGCAGGCAGGGCTCCAGGGACAGGTGGAAACGCCCGTGGGGACGTGTGTCCGGCCCACTCAACAGGTGTCCCCTGACCCCGTGGTCCTGCATAGTCAGGGCTGCAATGTGGTGACAACTAGAACAGAGTAAAACACAGGCGAGATCCTGAGAGCTGCAGCTGCCAAGCGCCCGGCTACTTCCAGAATAAGGTCCCAGACTGGGATGGGGCCGGGTGCCCACCACCGAGGGAGTCCTGGAGGCCCCCCTCCCGGACACGAGAGCAGCTCCTTCTCAGATAGTGGGCAGGAGCAGGAAGGGGTCACCCAGGGCTCCCCGGGTCCCCACAGGGTGGCAGCCATCCGTCACAGCAGAGACGTCACAGATGGGAGCCAGCCCACCTGGCCCTCCCCGCCTGGAGGCCAGGCAGGAGTGTGGACCTGGGGCCTGGGGGGCTTGGGCACCTGTGCGGCCCCCAGGAGAGATGGGATCCTGGGCCGTGTGGGGGTGAAGCCGGGACACTCAGACCCAGGGCTCCGGAACCACGGGAACCTTCCCCACGTGCGTCCCTCCTCCCGCAGTTGAGAATTCCCTGCGGGACAGCCCCGCAAAGTCGGAGCAGACCCCATCAGGCCCCTAACCGGCTGTGTGATTGCTGGGGACTTACCGCCGTCCCTCCTCCGCCTCCCTGGGGACCGCAAACCCTCCACCCTGAACAGATGACTGAGAAAATAAGCGTTTGGGCAAATCCCAACTGGGGGCCTGCGCAGTGAGCACCGCTTAAGAGGGTCTGTGTTTTCTTTACATAAACACATAAATCACAATTAACAACAGGGAAAAAGATACAATCTCCCGATGCTCGAGAGCAGGCGTTTCTGATCTGAATGGATGGCTGGGCCCGTAATTAACGGGCCGTGATATATTACTGCTCTGCTCATGAAGATTAACAGTCGTCCCCGGGACGGAGGAGAAGCAGGGTGTCCCCGGAGAGGCGGGGTCGGAGCTGCTGGCTCGTCCTAGTGGAGTGGCCTGAGCAGCTGTGCTCCACACCTTCCCACGTCCCGATGGAGACACGCCTGTGACTCCCCTGCCGCCTCTGCGCCTGCCTGGCTTGGCTGGCCGCGGGAGTCCCGGGGCCACCCCCACCGTGGGGCTCGTGACAATGTTGAGGCCTCTGGACCCCTTGTTTCTGGGGCCCAAGCTTAGCCCCAGCTCAGGAACAACCCGAGGGCAGCCAGGCCGGGGGCCGGGGGCTCTGTCCACGCTGGGTGTCCCTGAGGTCACGCAGACCATAGGAGTGGGAAGGAAAGGGCTCCTCATCTGACATGGGGGGCTTCTCTGCCCCTCGTGCCCCTGGCCAATCCAGAGAGATGCCAGCACACGCCCTGATCCCCCAGCAGTGTGGCGGGGGCTTCGAGGGGCCACTCAGAAAAGCGGTGTAGGGCTGGGCTCCCCCCGCCGGGCAGAAGGCCCTGAAGTGACCCCCGTCCTCTGTGCACAGCTTGGAGCAGCACATGATCATCCACACAGAGGAGCGCGAGTACAAGTGTGACCAGTGTCCCAAGGCCTTCAACTGGAAGTCCAACCTCATCCGCCACCAGATGTCCCACGACAGCGGCAAGCGCTTCGAATGTGAAAACTGTGTGAAGGTAACGCGGACGCGTGCTCCTGCCGCGGCCGTGCGCGCCCTGCCCCGGGAGCCCTGGCTCAGCCCAGACACAGTGGGAGGCTGCAGACAGGTGTCGAGCCCATCCTCCGACAGCCCTGCCGCGAGTTCTCGGATTAAGTATGGCTGGACGGGTTAGATGCCCCTGAGGCTGCTCGGGTCCTAACCTTCTACTGGGAGTGAAAGGGAGTCTCAGAAGATCGTGTGGCACAGCTGGGAAGGATCAGGGCCAAGACCAGAACCCGGGCAGGGCAGGGGCTAGAGGGGCGAGCCTCCCCGGCCCAGCCCTCGGGGGTCGTAGCCGCGTAGCCTAAAAACACTTTCTGCGCCCTGGTGTGTACAGCCTCGCGGCCGGCCTTCTGAGGAACTGTGGGGGAGACCGGGGCAGGGGGAGGCTTGGTGGCTCACCTGAGACCTCAGCAGGTCATTGCCAGGGCAGACACCTGTCCCCTCCCGCCCGTGCAGAGGGCAGAGTGTCGGCTGAGACCGGCAGGGCCCTGCCGTCACAGCTCCAGTCCAGTGGCCGGGACCAGGCCACGGGGGGTGTCCAGCCAGGGCGCCAGCCAACGGCTCCTGCCCCTCCCCAGGTGTTCACGGACCCCAGCAACCTGCAGCGGCACATTCGCTCGCAGCACGTGGGCGCGCGGGCCCACGCCTGCCCGGATTGCGGGAAGACCTTTGCCACGTCCTCGGGCCTGAAGCAGCACAAGCACATCCACAGCACGGTCAAGCCTTTCATATGTAAGTTGCCCCCGCCCAGCCCCCACCGGGCCCCCGGCGTGTGGGCCTCGGCTGGCCCCTATCCAGGGGCCCTGTTTGTCCAGAAAACACCGTGGCAGGTTCTGACACCTCTGCCACGTGCGGCCTGGCCCAGGCAGCTCTCCCAGGGCCACCCTCCCGGCTTTGCTCCCTGCCTCTCTGCTGGCCTTTCCTGCCGGCTATTCCTTCCTGGCCAGAGGAGGGAGTGGGTGGCGGGAAGGACCATCCCAGTGGTCCAGGTCCTGCCGGAGGAGCTGGGGGACCTCCCTCCCCCAGGGACCCCCGTCACCTCTGTTCACCGCCCCCCCCCGGCTGAGCCCCAGAGGGTATCGTCTGTCCTGCCCCGCTGGTGACCATCCCAGTGGGTGTTTACAGAGTGTGGTGTCTCCTGGGGCCCCTGGGGTGTCCAGCGCTGTTCTATGGGGCTGGGGCTGGCCCTAAAGAAACGTGCCCCTGTCCTGGTGGGGCTGCTCCCGTGGAGGAGACGGACAGCCGCGTAAACAAGGCGACAGGTTAGAGCTGGGGCAGGTGCCGCTCCTGCGTATTCAACCGGAGGCCTAAGAGAGGGGCCCTGGTGGGCGCTGGGTGCCTGTGGAGGCTCCGCGTAGAGCAGTGAGCACAGGGGCCTTGGGGCCAGGGTGTGTTTGGGCATGAGTGCGGTGGTAGTAAGAGAGGGGTCAGAGGTCAGCAGGGCCAGGTCCCAGGGCCTTCTGGGCCAGTGCAGGGACTTGGACCCACGTCATCAGGGGGTTCCGTCTGTGGAGTCCTCGTCTCCCCCAAGTGATCACACAGCATCACGCAAAAATCCCTCAAGCGGGGCCTCTGTCCCAGCTGACAGGGAAGGACACTGAGGCCGAGAGACGTTAAGCAACCAGGTGCCCAGAGCTGCACCGCAGAGCCCAGGTGTTGGCTCGGGGCGTCTGGCCCTGCCCTCGCACCTCTCGGGCTCCCCCAGCGTGGGGGCCACTCCGGCACTGACCACCTGCCCAGAGAGGAGACACCGGCCGGCCAGCCAGGCCTCTGTCGGGCTCCCGCTGCCAGCCCACCTCGCGAGAGCTGACCCGGATCCCCGCCTTGGCGGTGCACTGGCGGCCACAGCTGAGGAGCCAAAGGGAGAAAGAGCCGCCGATTGGCTGCTCCGTGAATTTCGCTTTTGCATTTATCGGCCACTCCTCAGTGCAGGCCCCACAAAGACAGCATCAGGGCGGCCCCGGGGCAGCGTCCATTCCCCTGGAAGGGGCTGGCTCAAGGGGAGCAAGGCGGAGCGGGGGGTGGGGGAGTGGGGATGTGCGTCCCCTGCCTCCCGCTGCGGGACGGGCACGTGTCAGTGCAGGAAATAATGGCTCGGAGTTTTAAAGCAAGCTTGGAAACAAGAAAATCAAACATAGGTTTAGACGTCACTGCCTTTCTGGGCTTGCAAACAAGGGTTTTAAAGTCCCGTTGGGTCATATTAATAACACGAGTTCCAGGAACCGCAGCACTCGGGCCCAAGCCACTGTTCCTGCTGTGCGGCAAGGACTCCGCTTGGAAGGGCAGCCCAGGGGGAGGCTCGTGGCCCTCGCGCCTCTTGTCTGCGCTCCAGGCCCCCTTTGTGCCTTGGCTTTGGCTAAGGGGATAAAGCAAATAGAAAACCCCAAACGTGGCCAGATTGGGTTTATGGATACTCGTTCCGTTAGAAAGAGATTAGACGTGAGAAAAGCCACGCGCACCCTGTGGCGCTCGGACAGCGTCCCTCGGTCCCCTGGCGTCCGCGAGAGGGTCTGTGTTCAGGCTGGGGGAGGAAACCTCGCAGACAAGCGGGAGGAGTCCAGATGACTTGGCCCCTTCGAGGAGGGAGCGCCCGGTGGTGCAGGACCGACATGCGGACTCTGTGTCCACCGCTGGGTGACACAGCCCCGCACAGCAGACGGACGCCCCCAAGCCCCCGCCTCACTGACCACACAGACCCAGGGACGGTCATTGCGTTGACGTGTCTCCCACTGGGAGCTCAGCGTGCACTGGGGGGTGTGCACGTATGTGTGTGTGTGTGTGTTTGTGTGAGGGGAGGGGAGGGAGGGAGAGAGAAAGCGTATCTAGGCGGGAAGCAGGCAGTCTCCTCCTGGGCTCGTGTCCACAGAGGACCTTGCAGGAATAAGTGTGCATGTGTGTGTGCGTGTGCACACGTGGGTCGGTGCACTGCGAGTGTGCAAGTGTGCGAGTGCATGTGCATTCACGCAGACAGCCTACGATGAAGAGCCTGCGGACCCGCACTAGGCCAGGACCCTCCCACCCTGGCAGGGCCCGGGGGCTCCCTGCACCAGGCACCATGGCTTCTTCCGCCCCTGCAGGCGCCGCCTCCCCTCGTGGGCTCCGAGCCAGCCACGGGCCACCCCCAGGGCCCGGGACCTGCCCCTCCGGCAGCCTTGGTCTCCTGAGCCCTCTCTGCAGCCCCAGGGTGTCTGCAGCCCCACCCACCGTAGGACCCTACGTCACGTGAGTGATGGGTGGAAACCGAGGGTCCCTGAGCCCGGGCACAGCCGCGGCCCCTCCCCAAGCAGCTTGGGGGAGGAGGCCCCTCGGCCAGTCTTTCCGAGTTAGAGTGGCAGCGGCCACTGACGAGGACCACGGACAGAGCCAGGTGTCACTCATTGGGCCATTTGGCCTGCGCGCCTCCCTGAGGGCCAGACGGGTGACCTGAGGGGTGACAGACCTCGCCTGTGGAGCAGCCCCTCCACCAGCGCCCCAAAGCGGGCAGACTTGATTAAAGGAGGCAGTTCTTCCCCCTTCAGCTTCGGAAACGCCCCACGGTGCCAGGCGGGCAGGAAGGCAGAGCAGTTAATATAAATAGATACCGTGATTAAAGAGCACGACAGTGTCGGAGAGAGCGCCGGCTAGAATAGTACGTGCTCAGGCGCGAGGGTGTGTGGCGGGAAGAAAGCAGCCGAAATCATTGTTCCCACCGGGCCGTGTTCGGAAGCAGATTGTCCCGCAGAGAGAGACGTGCACACGCGTGTGTGTATGTGTGTGTGTGTGTGTTTGTGTGTGTGTGTGTGTGCGTGCGTGTTCCTCCCTTTTTTGTTAGAAAAACGAGGAGCAAGCCAAGCTGGTGGCCTCTGGCCCCATTCATGGGCCTTTGGGAAAATGGCCGCTCTGGGCCACTGGGCCTTGGGTCCTGGCGCAGCTCAGGAGGCGCCAACCTCTGCTGTAGGGAGGAGATGCTGGTGTCAGCAGCCGGGTGACACTGCCTCCTCCATCCCAACTTGAGGAGGTCCCTGGCAGTAGGATTTTCAGTTTTCTCAAACGTGGAGCCAGTGGCCAAGTACCGCCAGGAACTGTGCTCCCAAAGCCTGAACTCCCCAGCTCAGGGCCCACTGAGACCCCCAGGACTCTCTGTCACCCCACGGCTGCCCTCTCCTCTCCTTGGATGCGCAGGGCCTGCGACAGAGAGGGGAGGAGGGAGCACTTCACGCTCCCGAGTGGCCGATGCTCTCCTCTCACCCCTGCTGCGTGGCCGTCAGTGATGTGGCAGGCGGGGACACTCTGAGCCTTCACTCCGCCCTCACCCAGCCCAGTCACCCCTTCCCCGGTGACTTCTGAACATCTTGGCTCCCAAATTAGCACTACCCTGGGGAAGGAGGGTGCAGGTAGCAATGGCAACCCCGTTTTCCAACAGGGGAGGTTGAGGCACGGCGGGAACTGGCCACGCCAGCCCAGACACCCCAGGGAAAGGCCCGGTCCCTGCTGGTCATTTGAGGCCCCCAGGGTGGGGCTATGCACAGACACACGTGTTTATGCATGCACATATGTGCACACATGTACACACACATGCACAGAATACACATACACGTAAGCACACGTGTACTTATGTACATGGACACTCATGCACGCACACACATGCACATGCGTGCACATACACGTGCACAGCACAAATGCATACACTGCGCACAGGCACACACACCCCTAGACGGCTTTTGGCGCCAGCGCAGGGCTTCCCTGTAATTTCATACGCCTTTGTCTTTGCTTTCTGCTGACGTTTTAGGCGAGGTCTGCCACAAGTCCTACACGCAATTCTCCAACCTGTGCCGGCACAAGCGGATGCACGCCGACTGCCGCACGCAGATCAAGTGCAAGGACTGCGGGCAGATGTTCAGCACCACCTCCTCGCTCAACAAGCACCGGCGCTTCTGCGAGGGCAAGAGCCAGTACGCGCCGGGCAGCATCTTCGCGCCGGGCCTGCCCTTGACCCCTGGCCCCGTGCTGGACAAGGCGAAGCCCTCCGCCAGCCTCAACCACTCTGGCCTGGGCTTCGGCGACTACTTCCCCTCCCGGCCGCACCCGGGCAGCCTGCCCTTCTCCACGGCGCCACCGGCGTTCCCTGCACTCACGCCCGGCTTCCCGGGCATCTTCCCTCCGTCCTTGTACCCCCGGCCGCCTCTGCTACCTCCCACGCCGCTGCTCAAGAGCCCCCTGAACCACACCCAGGACGCCAAGCTCCCCAGCCCCCTGGGCACCCCCGCCCTGCCCCTCGTCTCTGCCGTCAGCAGCAGCAGCCAGGGCACCACGGCCGCCGCGGGGCCGGGGGTGGACTTCGAGGGCCGTCTGGAGGACTCGTGCGTAGGGAAGCTCAAGACGCGGGGCAGCGACGTGTCGGACGGCAGCGACTTTGAGGACGTCAACACCACGACGGGGACCGACCTGGACACGACCACGGGGACAGGCTCAGACCTGGACAGCGACGTGGACAGCAACCCCGACAAGGCCAAGGGCGAGAGCAAGCCGGCCGAGGGCAAGCCCGAGTTCGGGGGCGGCTCGGCGCCCCCAGGTCCCCCGAGCAGCGTGGCCGAGGTGCCCGTGTTCTACTCCCAGCACTCCTTCTTCCTGCCCCCCGACGAGCAGCTGCTGACGTCGTCGGGCGCCGCCGGCGACTCCATCAAGGCCATCGCGTCCATCGCGGAGAAGTACTTCGGGCCGGGCTTCATGGGCATGCCGGAGAAGAAGCTGGGCTCGCTGCCCTACCACTCCGTGTTCCCCTTCCAGCTGCTGCCCAACTTCCCCCACGCCCTCTACCCCTTCACGGACCGCGCCCTCGCCCACAACCTGCTGGTCAAGGCCGAGCCACAGTCGCCCCGGGACGCCCTCAAGGTGGGCGGCCCCAGCGCCGAGTGCCCCTTCGATCTCACCACCAAGCCAAAGGAGGCGAGGCCCGTCCTGCCCGCGCCCAAGGGCACCCCGGCCCCTGCACCCGGCGAGGAGCAGCCGCTGGACCTGAGCATCGGCAGCCGGGTGCGCGCCAGCCAGAACGGGGGCGGGCGGGAGCCCCGGAAGAACCACGTCTACGGCGAGCGGAAGCTGGGGCCCGGCGAGGGGCTGCCCAAGGTGTGCCCGGCGCACGTGCCCCAGCAGCCCTCGCTGCACTACGCCAAGCCCTCCCCCTTCTTCATGGACCCCATCTACAGGTATTAACATGCCCCGCCCTCACCCGCCGTCCCCAGGGGCCTTGGCCACCTCTGAGCCGGGCGGGCTCCGCACGGTGGTGTCTGTCTCAAACGCCCTCGAAGCTTGTCCCTCCACCTTTGCTGGCCTCGGGGAAGGGCCTCCACTCTCGGCCCCCTGCATCCCTTGGGAGGGTCGCCTGGCTTGGCTGTGCCTGTGGTGGGCACCGGGCCGGGGCCACGTTTGTGGGGCCAGGACAGGTTCTCCCGGACACGTGTGGTTGCCTTGCTTGCACAGACAACAGCGTGGACATCCACCTGCCTGCCTGGGCCTCTCTGAGCCCAGACAACCCCCCCGACTTCACCCCCCTGCGTAAGGGAGACACCAGGCAGGTGGCCCTAAGCAGAGGTCTGATTGGTGGGTAGGCTTGGCCATTGCATCTGATGTGGGCCCACGAGAGAGGGCACGTGCGCACACACGTGAGCAGGCGTGCACTCATGCGCAGCGAGCATGTGGCAGCGCTTGAAGGCTGGCGTGCCTGCTCCCCCTCAGGGCCAGCCACAGCAGGGGGACATGGGGACGGGCCATACCTCCAAGAGAGGCCTGCAGGTGAGGCGGTCACACCTGGTCTGTGGGTTCTCAGGAGATAAAGACGAGAGGTGCCAGGGAAGCCAGAGCTGCTCCCCGGGGGGCCAGGTCCAGTGGGATGATCGGAGACCCACAGACAGAACCTTCTTGCGAGGCCCCGGAATGAGCCCGAAGGCATGCACGAAGGTCTGTGTGGACCTCCCCCGACTCTGCCCTTCACTGCAGAGCACCCCGTGGCCTCCCCTCCACTGCGTCCTCCGCACCCTCCTGTGGCTCAGTCCAGGGCCTTGGAAGCGGCAGGAGCCCACAGTCAGGCTGGGAAGGCCCCCGCCCCTGGCTTTCCGAGGAGCCCTCCGAGGCTGGTGTGTCCCCAGCTTTCATCCTGCTGTCGGGGCTGCCTGGACCCCAACTCACCTTGCCGCACAGACGGCTCAGGGGAGGTTTCCCGTTGAGGGAAACACCGGCAAAGCGCCCGAGCACGGCTTCCCTCCAAGGTGGCCCCACGGCCGCCACAGTGACGAAACCAAAGCATCCTGGCAAAACGCTCGTCCCTTGTGGGTCAGCTGGGGTCTGCTGCTTGGTCACCGAGGGCACAGGCTAGTAGGGACGCCAGGGGACACGGCTCAGGAAAAGGCAGGAGGGTACAAACCCACGTGGCTCCATCTGACTTCCCTGGGCCAGAGAGTCACACGTGAGAGCCCTCGTCACGTTGAGCAAAGCCCTTCTGCCCCCACCGGGTCCCGTCCTCTGGGCTGGTGCCACCGACCCTAGACCGTTCCCTCAAAAGCTCGAATCCCACAGTCCAGCTTTGAACGGGGCCTCCATCGAGCCCTGCAGAGAGAGAGACCCTCCAAGTGACCTTCCCACACACCTCCCAGAGCCCAGTGTTGGTGGTTTACTCTAACCCCTGGGAAGGAACCTTCCCCACGGGTCACACAGCCCCTTCCTTCTGCCTTCCCCTCCTGGACCAGGGTCAAGGTCTCCGCGGGTTACCTGCAGCCTCGGGCCCTGGTAGGGGGCTCCTGCCCCAGGTTAGCCCCCAACATGCGCACCTGGGGGGCTGTGTTTTCTTCCTGTGGCCCATCCCCTCCTGCGGTCACCTCATCCGCCACATTCCCGTCCGGGTGCCCTGGAGGGCGGAGAAGCAGAGACCACAGAGTTGTAGGCGGGAGTGAGGCGAGACCAGAGCCTGGCGAGGATAGTGAATAAGGCAAACCCGCTGGGCCGGGAGATGCCATTGCAGGAGGGACGTGTCTGGGGAGCGACAGGTTTGCCAAAGCCTCCTCGACGCCAGGGAAGACACAGATCTGCCCCCACCGGGGCGGGGGCAGCCCTGGAGTCCTGCGGTCAGGGCAGGGACGTGTGGACGCCCCACCACAGCCTGTTTTCCATGGGAGATTTGGTTCATAATTAAGTCAACAGAGTTGTCACTGGCATTGGGGATGATTCTGGAATGATCATTTTTGGCAGCCTTCAGGGTTTCAGGCGGAGCCCTGCCAGGTTGCCGTGGGGGTTCCTGGCGATGTCCTCAGGAAAACTGCCTGCTGGTCACTCACAGTTATCCACACGCGTGGGCAGAGCCCACTCCCCGGAGGTCGGGCTGTGAACATCCAGCCCCAGGGAGAGCCACGCCCTGTTGCAGGGGAGTCTAGGTGCCCGACACCGGGCCACCCACGCAGGCTGGCGGCCAGCTGGCGGGGGCTGGTGTGCACAGTGTGGGGCCGTCAGAGAAGGTTCTAGGCTCCAGCATTAAGCACTCACGACGGGCACAGGTGTCAGCAGCTGGGGTGGTTTGGGGTACTCGGGGTTGCAGGCGTGGGGAGCGTGTGAGAGTGTTGAGGGGCAGGTGGTGGCTGGGAGGGTCTGTGCAAGCGAGTCAGTGGACCAGGCCCTGATGTCCCCAAGGCCGACAGGACTCAGGTGAGAGCTGGCAGGGTAGCCCTGGCCAGGCCCCGCTTCCCAATCTCGTGACCGACTGGGGCACAGATGGGCACCCGGCGGGCGGTGGCTCGGTGGGGTACGTAACCCTCTGTGTTGCTGTCCAGCAGGGTAGAAAAGCGGAAGGTGACGGACCCCGTGGGAGTCCTGAAGGAGAAGTACCTGCGGCCGTCCCCACTGCTGTTCCACCCCCAGGTAAAACCCGCGGCGGGCGGCCGGGGGACCCCTGGGACCCCACACACTGCCCGCGGCAGCACGGGGGCTCTGCGATGGGGCAGCCCGAGTTCCCGTCCAGGCCACGCCACACGCCAAGGCAGAGGAGGGTTCTCTCCCTGTGGCCCAGGGCCACTGTGGGCTGGAGAACGGTGGCCCTGACCCGTGGCCTGTGGCTCCCGGAGGGGGAAGAGGTCCAGTGGAGTGGACAGAGCTGGCACGGAGAGAGTCCGGGAATTCCGAACGTGAGGGCAGCAGCCCCGGTGGCACCACAGGGAGGCGGCGTTTCTGGGGGCGCAAGACCTGAGTGTGTTCGTTGATAAATGAAAAGACCAGAAGAGAGGTGGGGCCTGAGTGTGTGGGGACATGGAGCAGGCCCCGGGGCAGGCAGGGGTCGGACGTGACCCAGAGGGAGGCCAGGCCATCCGCAGGGAGGGGAGTGGGGCTCAGGGAAGGAGATGCTCCCGGAGAGCCCCAAAGTCTGGGTGGGCGGCGCAGACCCCAGTGAGCCTGGGGTGCTCCTGCCGGCTCCTCGGGGAGGGTCGCGGTGGGCCATGTGGGGCTGGGCATCGAGGCCAGGGCAGTCTGGCATTCCCAGCCCCCACGCCCACCCGCCCTCACTGCTGGGGCCGAGCCCTCCAGAGCCTCAGGCTGCTCCTCGCTCTCCCCGGCCCCACCTGGAGGGTTGGGCTGCACTGGGACCGGCCCCCCCAGACCCAGACGGGCATTGTTCCCTCTGGCTTTTCCCGCGTGGGACGACCCCCTCCGGTTTGTGAAACCTGCGCCTGGGCTGAGTTCACAGCTAAACTTAGCGCCTCCCATTGTTTCGCTGGGGCCATGGCGCTGGGCTAACAACTTCCCGTGATTTTCCTCGGGACGGGCTGGAAAGAGCCACAGGCCGGCCAGGCGCATCCTGTGTTTGTGTTTGTGCGGGAGCTCGGCGGGAACATCTGATCGGGTGGAGCAGGCGGGCAGCAGAGGCCCACCCAGGCCCAAGGAAGGGAGGCCCGGCGGGGGGTGGCTGCCCACTCTGCCTCCTGCCCACGCCCCGCTGCCTGCCCCGTGGGCCCAGACACAAGAGGAGGCCGGGGAGAGGCTATCAGTAAGTCACCAAATTAAATGGCCTGAGGTCGGGAGAAAGTGCCGGATAGCTAACGGCATCTACAGAGCACGGGAGGTCACTAAATTAGCCCGAACCACGCAGGTGCCCGGCAGCGCCACCGCCAGACCCTTCCGCTTCTGAGGCCCGACGTGCGGGTGTGCAGCCCCCGGGTGCAGGGCGAGGTGGTCCTGCCTGGGTGCGGTCCCTTAACAGCTCTGGGGGTCCTGCGGAGCCTTGGGGTGGAGGGGAGTGTTCCAGGGCTACAACCGAGACCCCCGGGCAGGTGGGCAGCAGCCTGTGTGTCCAGGGCCTCAGCGCCACCCTGGGGACCCATCGTCCAGGCTGTGGAGAGGCTCATGAGGGGCTGGTCGGTGGCCCAGGGAGCAAGGCAGTTTCCATCTGTCCATCAGAGGGGACAGGCCAGAAGCACTGTGCCTCTCGATGAGGGACGCATGCCTCCCCCGTGGCAGTGTGGCCTGGACAGAGCCGGCAAGGGGCCAGGGGAGGCCTCAGCCACAGCGGACGGACGCTATTTCCTGTGATTAGCTCCACTCAGGGTGTTTTTGTTGTAACCAGTCGGTCGTTCCCCACATAGCAAAATGTCTCCACCGCTGGAGCGTGTGGCCTGCAGGCAGCCTGCTGCGGGCCGGCCACAGCCCTGGAGACACTGGTCTACCACTGACAGGCTTGGTGACGAGAGCTGAGGTTCAGAGTTTTCATCCCTTTTGTTAACCTTCTGGGTGTAATGAGAGCTCTTCCTTGCCCCCTGCCTAGCCTCCCAGGGGCCCCGAGCACAGCAGGCACTCACAAGGCGGCCCACCGCCATCTGGGAGCTGTTCCCGCTTGCCAAGGGGCGCGGGGGCTGGGAGAGGCGCTGCTGACACCTGAGCGGCTCGCCAGCACCCTCCCCTCCTGTCGCCGGGACGGAGACACAGTCTGGGACTCTGATCAGAACTCAGCCCGGGCCGGGTGTGGTGGCTCATGCCTGTAATCCTAGCTCTCAGGAAGGCCGAGGCGGGCGGATTGTTTGAGCTCAGGAGTTCGAAACCAGCCTGAGCAAGAGCGAGACCCCGTCTCTACTAAAAATAGACAGAAATTAATTGGACAACTAAAAATATATAGAAAAAATAGCCGGGCATGGTGGCGCATTCCTGTAGTCCCAGCTACTTGGGAGGCTGAGGCAGGAGGATCGCCTGAGCCCAGGAGTTTCAGGTTGCTGTGAGCTAGGATGACGCCACGGCACTCACTCTAGCCGGGCAAAAGAGGGAGACTCTGTCTCAAAAAAAAAAAAAAAAAGTAAAAGAACTCAGCCCGTGGGGGGAAATGCCCAATCTGCGCTCCCCTGTCCTCGAGCAAGCCGTGGCATCGCTAGGAAGCAGAGAAGCAGCGCTTTCTGCCCATGTCAACCTGCCCTGGGTCGTGTGACCGTGGGCATTACTACTTTGGATATTTCGTTCATGAGATCTGGTCACTTAGAGGCGACCAAATTCCTCCTTAGCACTTTGCCTGCAATTACGGCGCATGCCACCTGGCGGCAGTGCCTCCTCAAGCCTGCCATGTGTATTTTAAGCTGAGATTCAGGTTACTCTTTATTTTTCAAGACTAAAAAACAAAACGGAACAAAAAAATGCGGAGTGATTTTGAGTTTAACCCAAACTGGCCAATCAGGAGTGCTGGCCAGGGATCAAGCCAGCTGGGCATTGCTGGCCTGGGTCAAAATAAGGGCTGGGCAGTCACCAACATCCGTGGTCTGCTGTGCCCCAGTCCCACCCAAGCCAGGCAGAGGCCAGTTGTCGAGGTCAGTTCCAGTTCCCGGGCCAGATGCTAGACGGAAACAGGGCACACAGGGACACACTGGAGCAGGGCTGGCCACAGAATGCGAAAGAATCCAACCCAGTGGCCAAGAAGATGCCAGGAGCCCCTGGCTCCAGTGACCTGAGTGCACACTGCCATACTCAGTCTGAGGCTCCCGGGTGCCCGTGAGGGTGGAAGACGGGACAGCTCGCCCAGTTCATAACCTGTCCCCTCTTGCACCAACAGATGTCAGCCATCGAAACCATGACAGAGAAGCTGGAGAGCTTCACGGCCATGAAAGCCGACGCGGGCAGCTCCCTGCAGCCCCTCCCCCACCACCCCTTCAACTTCCGGTCCCCGCCCCCGACGCTCTCGGACCCCATCCTCAGGAAGGGCAAGGAGCGGTACACCTGCAGGTGCGGCACCCAGGTGCTGGCAGGGCGGCCTGGCGGGGGCTATGGTGCCGTGAGGTGGCCGTGAACTCGTGCTTCCAGGGAAGTTCAGGGCCGTGGCCGCAGGGAAGCGCAGCTGCTGGAGGCCACTGTCCCCAGATAAGTGGGGGGTCTCCCCTGCGCTCCAAGCTGTGCTCAAGTGAGGTTGAGACAGTGCCACCTCGCGAGGCCCGCCTGAATTCGGAAGGACGGAGGCTGCGGTGTGCTGGTCGGTGTTTCACCTCAGCCCGGGAGGGGACAGGACGCCAGCGCGGCAGCTTTTGCCAGTTTCCACGGCATTGGGAAGGACACTCCGGCCACCCCACCAGCTGGTGCAGGCCCGTCCAGCCAGTCTGGGCCGGCTCTGTCCACTGCTGGGCCAGGGGCCGAGCTACTTCCGGGGTAGGGCCAGCCCATGCCGGTGTCTGGAAACTGAGGCTGGGCTCCGGGGCTGAGGAAGAGATTGGGAACCTGGGTGCTGGGCAGGGCCACCCGCGCACCAGGTGTGAGATGCTAAACTGGGAGCTTTTCCGGGAACAGCAGAGTGAGGCTCCCTAATGGCCCCTCGCCTCCCCCTTCCTCCACTCCAGGTACTGTGGGAAGATCTTCCCCAGATCAGCAAATCTCACGAGACACCTGAGAACACACACCGGGGAGCAGCCGTACAGGTAGGAGCCGCGGTGCAAGTGGGGGCCAGGGCCATCTGCCCTGGTGCTCTGTGGTCTCCCCAGGGACCCTGTGGGAGTCCAGGGCCACCGCAAGGGCAGCGGGCGGGACCGGGGGGCTGGTGCTGGGACCTCGGGCCTGGTCAGTCTCTGGACCTGCCCTCCTGGGATGTGGTAAGGACGAGGCAGCAGGTGCCCAGGAACCTTCTGGAGGGCTCCGGCCCTACTTACAAAGGGGGGTGCCGGGGAGCAGTTCTCCACCTGCCCCGGGCTGTCCGCGCAGGCAGGGCCCAGAGTTAGAGGCTGACCCAAAGCCAGGGTGCCGGGAGGTCTGTTGGGGGTAACCTCAGCTTCACCACACCCGGCCCAACTCTGAGCATCTCACGGCGGCTGAGCCTGCCCCACCCGCAGGTGGCGGACCAGGGATCGGGCAGAGGGCAGGGAGGGAGCTCCGGGCCTGGGTCCCCCGCGGCAGCCCTGGAAGGGAAGCCACGCATCTGCTCCCGAGATCCCACCTCCGCGCCCTGAGCTGCCCCAGAGAAGCGGCCACAGAGCACGTGGGAATGTGGAGTCATTGAGCCTGGGCTCCCAGCAGCAGCCCAGCAAGGCCTGTCATCCCCGTCAGAGATGGGGGCCCCGAGGCTCAGAGATGCCCCGAGACTCACATGTGGTCGAGCCACAGCCAGCCCGGCTCACCGCTGTGGCCCCAGGGCAGCCCTGTTCTCTTGGTCTCTGAGCCACAGAAGGACCGAGCTGGTGTCCCGACTGCCCCGGGGGCCTCGGAGTTGGCATTTTGAACAAGAGCCGCAGGTGGTTGTAACCGCGAGGACAGCGGGACCATGCTAGTTCCGCGCCAAGACAAGTCCAGCAACACATGCCGGGTGTGTCTGGCTTGCAGAAGCTGCTGGGAATAGAGTGTAGCGTGGCTTTAAGTGGACGGCGTGAGATTTCTGTACTCTGGCCACACGGGGCTTGGGGTCGCCGGGAAGTGACTGCACGATAATACGGGCCCTGGGGGCTCAGTGGGTGTCTCTGTCCCAGGGAGGGAGGCCACAGGGGCACCTGCAGGCGTTGTGGTCCCCAGCCCCACTCCGAGACAGAGCAAGCGTGTCTGACCCGGGGCGGGGCCGTCCCGCAGGTGAATGACAGCTCCTGCCATCTCCCCGCTGTCTGCTAGCGTCCCTAGCACTCCCCAGCGCACGGCCGCCCCATCCACTCTCTGAAACATGGTAACTTAGGATGTAACAAAGGCTAGCGGCAGAAAGATTTATTTGGTCTGGTCCCCTCCCAGGAATGAGCCGTGTGTTTTGTCTGTAATGAGAGCCGACTTCTGGACAGTGTTGCGTGCTAAGAGCCCCCAGAGGGTCAGGCTGTGTTTATAGAGGAATTTAATTATCATTGATTTCTTTTGCTCTCTCCAATCTGTGAGTTTCGACTTTGGTAACAATAATTGCTTTGCAAGTTTGTGTTGCAAATCCTGACTTTATCTGGCCCGAGGCAGGCCTGTGCCGGGCTTTGGAGTGCGTAGTTTGCCTTTTGATACCGCTGGTGGTTTCTGGGCTCGCTTTGATAGTCGGAAGGATTTTAAGTTGGAAGAGGAAAATGAGCATCTGTCCCCAGAAGCCCACTGTGCCGCCACCCCGGACCCCGCGCCTGCAGGGTGTGTGTCCTGCCTTGGTGCCAGCACCCGAATCCGTGCGTGCTGCCCGTGCGTGTGTGTGCGCCCTGGGGAAGTCGGGCCGATGCGGCCCTCGCCAGAGGGAGGAAGTGGGGCCGCCATGGTTGCCTGCAGTGAGGGGGCAGTCACACTGGACGACACCGGAGGTCTCCTCCTTTCAAGCCCTTGCCTCAGATGATCTGAAATCATTCAGAATGTGTGGCAAAGCCCCAGGTGGGGGAAGAAAGACCCTTTGGTGTGGCAGGTACATTTCCTGGGGGAAGGCAAACCGCCCACCTGCCAGGCCCAGCCCGAGAGCTGTTGCGGGCGCTCAGCCTCTCCTGGCCCAGAGGTTTCGAGTGGGGTTGGAAGACGAGGTGCAGTGAATGTCGCTCTTAATTCATAGAAAAGGAAGTGTGGGCTCCGTGGGATTCGGTTGCAGAGACGTAGAAATTGAACAGGGAACGAGAGGCCGCTTCCCAGCGTCTGTCCTGGCAGTGCGGTCGGGGGTCTCTCCACGATGCCGCCGGGGGGATCCTTCGTGGGCCGGCCTGGGGGCTCCCGCGGGGACCTATGATCCCGTGCCTCACACCCCCTTCTGCGGCTGTCCCCGAATTCCTGCCAGGCTCCCGTCCTGCCTTCCGTGTGAAGGGAGGCAGTCGTGTCTCCATGGGGGCCACTAGGCTGTACACGTCCTCTTCTTTCTCAGTTTATTTTTAGGGCTGGTTTCAAAGTATGTTCTTTTTCGTCCCCCACTTTTGCAGTTACCCCCCACGGTGGCTGGGGGTGGCCCCCTGGATCCCAGGGAGGACGCTGCTGCCCCAGCATGGTTCTCAGGGTCCCAGGGCTCTGGGGCCCAAGGCCAGCCGCGTCACCCTGCCCCACCCCAAGACGCAGTCTGCACAGTGGCTGGCGTCCCTGGGAGCGCGGCCGACGTGGTCATAGCGAGGTCCTCTCAGAGCCTCCGCAGCTCGCGGTGGCTGCTCTGTGTCCTCTCGCCCCGTCTGGAGCTCGGTGGCGTCTTGTTTTATGCGGCGTGGCAATAAATTTCACCGGCCACTTGTCAGCTTATTTACAACGCGAATCCCAGCTGCTCGCAGAGCTCTGCTCCCTGGAAGCCCAGGGCTCACTGCTCCCCTAAATTTCCGACGGACTTCTCTGTCCCGGCCGTTTATTTAGATTAGAAACGGGAGAGGCCCACGCGGGACTCTGTGCCCAAATTGAAGGCACAGCCCTCCCGCCCTGCCTGGCCCAGAGTGTCATGCGAGGGACCTGCCCTCCTGCCTGTGGACCGGCCTCTCCCACAACCCGGCTTCCAACTGCGAACGCCCCCGCTCCGAGGTCACGCAGCAGCCATTAGGTGGAGTTTGTCTGAGGGTCCCTGCATTCCCAGGGAAACCAGGAACTGAACTCTGTGTGTGAGCGCAGAGACAGACAGACCGACAGCCTGCGGCGCCTGCCGGCGGGCACCCACTCCTCCCCACAGGAGCCTCTTGTTGGGCAGGGGCTGAACCCCCAGCCCTACAGCTTGGCCTCGCCTCTGGTCTGGAGATGCAAAATCAGGGCTGTCCTTCCCGAGTGACCACCCTACCGAGCAGGATGGCCCGGGATCCTGGTGCCATCGGGTGCTGTGAGTTGAAGGGTGCGTTAGAGTGAGGGAGGTGAGACGATGCACTTTGCAATGTGAAATTCCTCCTCTCTGAACTATCGTGTCGGGGCGTCGGGTGGGGCAACGAAGCGTCCCCCACCCAGCCGCTGGGAGGGCTCGAGCCTGAACCCCTCTGTCACTGTGCAGGCCCAGAGAGACAGGGCAGCTGGTGCCTCCCAGTGTAGCTGTGTGGGTGGCGGGTCCCAGTCAGGCTGCTGGACGTCCCAGCTTCGGGAGGAACCCAATGCTCCCCGGGTCTCCCAGGGCAGCCCAGCTGAGCTCAGGAGAGGCTGGGGCCCCGCGGTGAGGCCTAGGCCAGGCCCCTGGGGTCAGGGTGCAGAGGAGGCTGAGGGTCATTTCAGAGGAGCCTGGGGACTGTGTTATTCTTTGCAGGCTACTGTGGAGGGGCCGGGTAGGCCTGGCCTCAGGCAGAGGTTCGGGAACCGAATGAATGAAGCCCCAGAATAGCACTGCGGTGGTTCTCGGGAGGCGGAAGTGAGTTTGGGGCAGCTACGGCCCAGCCTGGGAGAAGGTCCTTGGCAAGAGGGGACCCTTCCAGCAGGGCTGCCCTCCATTCTCTAGGGAACCCCTTCTTAAACTCCCCACGCTTTATCAGGCGGCTTGGGAAGCAGGTGGGGGACTCCCAGGCTCCGAGACTCCAAGCACGGTGTTTCACGTAGCTGCCCCCCTTCAAGTGGGGAGTGCTCGGCTCCTGGGCCAGGGTAACACCCCCGGGGGCGTGGGGGCTAACGCATCCTGCCCAGGGAGGCCCCCGAGGCTGCGATGGCCGGACGGGTGGCCTCTGGGATGACAAACGCAGGGCCACCCCTCCCGGTGTGGGAGGCCAGGGCTCCCAGCTGTCCTCAGGATTGGCCCCGTCCGTGTGAGCTGCCCTGGAGCAGGTCACCAGCACAACTCGGGGTGGGGGCTTGGGAAGTCCTGGCCCTGCTGCAGGAATGCAAGCCTACCGCGTTTAGAACCGGCACGCCCCCTCCGGGTGAACGAGCCCCACCCATGTGCCCCCTAGACCTCCCTACGTGGGCGGTGGCTGCCGGAAGGCTCAGCCCCCGAGCTCTGTGGCACTGGACTTCCTGCGTGTTGTGCTGTGGACGTGGTACAGCTTGTTTTGTTGTCAAAATGTGAAAATGCACGATCATACGGACAAAATTTCCAGGTGCTTATGCGCCTCTGAGACCCAGATAAGCACCCGGAGGAGTTCTAGTGACCAGGTGCTCACTCAGGCATGAGCATGTACAAGTGTGCACATGTGCACACACATGCTCGTACACACGTGCTCTGCACGCGTGTGTGTCAGGGTTCCCGGTGCCGTCACCCAGCCCATAGGAGGGGCCCTCAGTAAGCCCCCCGGCTGCGTGCGGACCCCCACGATGGGGACCCCGCTCCTTCTGCAGGCAGCATGCGGCGTCCACAGAGCCCGGAAGGCTCCTTCCTAACTCGCCCTCCCCGGCCCAGCTCTGCCTTTGTCTCGGACCATCTCGCTGCTCAGGTCCAGCTCTCAGCCCCCCAGGGACCCCCCTTCCCTGCTCTGGGGCCACCGCGTGCGGTTGTGAAGGTCGTGTCCAGCTCTCAGGCCCCACCCCTGCAGCTGTTCACCACGCGCCACTCACGTGGCAGACACCCTTGTCGTTACTTTGACAGTTTTCTGGCTATGAAGCGCCTCGCTCTCATGAACTCGGATGTTGTGATAGTGTTCGGCGGCTGGTTGCTGTGGAAGCATCTGGAGGGAAGGGCACCCCCTTCTAATTTTCCCAAGCAGCCCTGGCCACTCCCGCAGAAGGGGGCAAAGACCAACCGAGAGATGGAGCTGGCAGTGCCCAGAGGGGCACGTGTGGTCGTTCCATCCGAGCAGGTGGCCAGGCTGCGGACCCCCACCCACCTTCGGGCAGTTAAGACCCTTGGGCAGCCCTCGCCCCCAGTCAGTGGGTTGGTGAGCCGAGCGCTGAGTGAGACAGGCCTGCGCACGGGCCCAGCCCCCCGGGGACACTAGGAGGGAAGGATTCAGGGAGCGCCTTCCCAGCCCCTGCCTGGGCGTCCTTCTGTGGTACAAGGACGCCCTCTTGAGGCTGCCTGGGGCATGTCACCCCCAGCCACCCACACAGTGGCAGACCTGCTGGCCCAGGGGGCCTGGGGCTGGGGGATGCAAATGACAGAGGGCCAGAGACGGGAGGGGAGGGTCTGGATACCACACACCCGGGGCACAGGGCACGTTCAAGCAGATCCGCCACCCACAGGACGACGGGGAGGCTGAGCACCTGCTTCTTTAAACCAGGCTGTTTCTAGGGACACCTGCCCCGTGACGCCTACTGGCTCTAAAGCCACTGAGCCAGCAGGCTCGGGGACACGCAGGGGGCACAGCCGTGGGTGGGGGCAGAGGCATGGGCCCCCTTCCCACCGCCCTCTGCGGCGCCCGCGTGTGCTTCCAGGTGTAAGTACTGCGACCGCTCCTTCAGCATCTCCTCCAACCTCCAGCGGCACGTCCGCAACATCCACAACAAGGAGAAGCCCTTCAAGTGCCACCTGTGCAACCGCTGCTTTGGGCAGCAGACCAACCTGGACAGGCACCTCAAGAAGCACGAGCACGAGAACGTGCCAGGTGGGCGCGACGGCGGGGCGGGACCCCGTTCCCAGAGCACCCGCAGGGCAGGCCCTGCAGAGGCACAGACGTGTGCCGGAGGGGGGAAGGGAGGGGCCTGCAGGTGGGGCCACCTGCCGGCTCTGGGGAACGCCGACAGGCACCCCTCAAACCTGTTTGTGAAAGAGAACCCGAGAGCACCCCGAATCCACGCTGTCCGCGCTGACAGCCCGGGCGGGCTGGCCCCGCGGAGGGAGGGGTTCCGCTGAAGGGTGCGCCTGACGCTCGTGCCCCGTCTGCAGTGAGCCAGCACACCGGGGTGCTCACCAACCACCTGGGCACCAGCGCCTCCTCCCCCACCTCCGAGTCGGAACACCACGCACTTTTGGACGAGAAGGAAGACTCCTATTTCTCTGAAATCAGGAACTTTATTGCCAATAGTGAGATCAGCCAAGTGTCATCGCGAACGGACAAACGGTAAGACCGTCCCGGCCCAGGGAGGTCTGCACCCGGCGTCCCTGTGGGCCACCCTCAGAGCACGCACCTCCGCCCCACACCAGCCCCCAGCGCACCCGGATGGGGACCGAGGGCCCAACAGCAGAGGGTGAGCCCCCGGGGCTCTGGGAAGCTGGGGAGGGGAGGAGGCAACGACAGCACCCCAAGCTGCGGCACAGCACCCAGCACCAGGCCGAGTGGCAGCCGCTGTCGTCCGGCCTCCCGTTAACAGCCGCACGTGCAACCTGCCGGCCGAGCGAGCGCCTGCTGCAGGCAGAGTGCGCCTCTGAAACTCAAGGACATTTCAGTTTAATTGGGGCCACTAATGGTTTCCAACCAAGAATGCTGCACCTTTAAACACACACGTACACACATACACATATGTACACACATCTATACACATACACTTGTGCATAGATGCATGCACTTGCACACACGTGCACATGCAGACCCATACACAGGTGCACATGTATGTCCGTGGGGCATACATGTGCAAGTGCATGTACATGTGTGCACATGTACACATGCATGTGCGTGTATGTACGTGTGTACACATGCACATACACGGAGCAGCAGAAATAGCATAATTCAGACCGAGGGATGTGGGCAGGTGCTCTGTGCAACCCTGGGTCCCAGGGCTCAGCGTGTGTCTGGGGCCCCTTTCTCTGGGAGAATATTTCAACCCCCCGGGGAGAGGTTCTTGGGAAAAGCTAATACAGACCAGCCGGCAGAGAGCCAGAGCTGCTCTGAACCCTAAGAGGCCTCAGGATGCAATCCCCTAGTTCTGTAGAGGGGAAACTGAGGCCCACTGGACTGGGTGCCTGGCTCCAGTCCCATGGCCAGGCGGGCCCTTAACGCGCTGGCCTCGGTGGGCTGTGACCCTGCGGCCACAGGGCCCGTCTCCCTCCCCACCCTCCTCCAGGGCAGAGCTCGTCTTCCCTGTCACGGTTCTCCTCGGGGTGGGGACCGGGCACCTGTCCACGCAGTAAGTGGGGGAGGCCCTGGGGCTCTGTTTGTGGCTGAGCCACGTCCGAACTCCGCGCCCCTGGGAAGGTGACCTCACCTGGAGGGCCCTCGGCAGGACGGGGAGACACTACTAGCTGTGGGCTGCAGCCCCCAAAGCCTGACCCCACCTGGGTGGGACCCCACCCGCCCTGCAGCCCACAGATGCCCCAGCATCCTGTCGGGGCCCCAGGCACAGCGATGCGAGCGACCGAGAAGTGGCACTCTGAGGCCACCCAGTGAGAGCCGCCTGCTCTGAGCGGCGCGGCCTCCACCTGCAGGGCAGGCTTCCTGTCAGGGCCCGAGACCCACAGCCGCGCCCGAGGCGCATCCTCTCCGTGGAAGACGGGCCCCCAAACGGAGGTGCCCGTGAGCCCCAGAGCAGAGCCAGATAAGGACAAACGAGGATTGTCAATGGCATCCTCGCTGGGGTGGACCAAGGACCAGGCGTGGTGCCACGGTCCTGAGCCGCCCGGGGGACAGCAAGGCCTCCATGCCCCGAGCTGGGGGTTGCTCCTCAAGCCCCGCCGGACAGAGGGGCCGTTGCCAGAAGGACGAGGCCGGCCGGGCCCCCTGGTGTGCGGGGTGAAGAGGGAACAGGCACCATTGTCACCCTTGTTGTTGCCATGGGGCGTTTCAGCCAGGGCTGTCCCCACAGGGCAGGGGGAGGCTGCTGCAGGTCCCTCAGAATGTGGGCGGCAGAGCTGGGCCTCAACCCAGGCCCTCACTCAGGCAGCCCGTCTGCTGCGGGCGGTGCCACGGCCCAGCCGGCCTGGTCCTGAGAGCCAGGGGGACACAGGAGGCTCATCGTCATCCAGAGCGAGGCCACGGGCAAGGTGGACATTAACTGGCCAGTCCTCCTGGACTCGGGCAGCCCCTCTCAGGCCAATGCTGCTGTGACCTAGTCCTCGTCCACAGCCAGTTTCCTCCTCGTGCCCGTTGGTGGGAATTCGGGGCCCACCAGGCTTCCTGGTCCGCAGCGCCACAGCCCCTGTGTTGAACTGTGTCCCCTCAAAATTCACAGTCGACGTCCTAACCCCAGAACCTCAGAAGGTGACGCTTTGGAGATGGGGCCTTTACAGAGGCAGCTAAATGACGAGGCTGTCCTGGAGCACAGCGGGCCTCGCCCAAGAGGACCGGGGTCCTTACGAAAGGGGACACTGGAGACCGACGTGCACGGGAGAGCACCGCATGGAGAAGCAGGCAGAGACGGGGGTGATGTGTCCAGAGCCAGGGTGGCCAAGACGGCCCATGGCACGAGAAGCTGGGGAGAGGCCTCGGAGGAGCCGGCCCTGCCCACGCCCTGACTTCTGCCTCCGGAGCTGTGAGAGGAGGAATCTCTGTTGCTTTAGGCCACCAGTCTGTGGTGCAGCCCCAGCCAGGGCCACTGTCCCCTCCAGACACCACCCGAATAGCGGCATCGTCCACAAACCCGCCCAGGCCGCCAGGTGTGGTTTAGCGACACACGGCATGTGGCGGACCTGACCTGAGAGCCATATCGGGGCTCTCCTACCCACACGGTCCCATCCTCGGGGTGCAGCGCAAGGGACTCTCATGTCACCACGAGGCCAAGCCCCTGCCCAAGGTCACCCCGCCAAGAGCCCGGGCGAGAGGCAGGCCCTGGGTCCCAACACAGGGACCAGCAACGGGGAAACGTCCCCAAGCCCGAAACCTGTTGAGGTCTGCCCGTCCTGGAAGGCGGATCAGGTGTCAGCATCTCCTACTCTCACCTGGAAAGACAGGAAGTGGAGACCCAGGAGCTCGGGGTCCCCCGCAGCCCACTCCTGTGCATGTGGGGGGGTCCGGCCACGGCTGCGTTGGAGGCCGATTGCCCAGAGGGGCCGTCACCGTCTGCTCTGATGCCAAGAACAGGACCCCGTGCCTCCTGAGAACGTGGTACCTCCCAGAGTGGCCGTGGATGGTCCCCTTGGCTGAGCGAAGACGAGGAGGAGTGGGCTCCGGGCCCCGAATATGGGACTCTGAAGCGTCACGCGCCCTGCTCTAACCCCTCTGCTGGGTGTCCGACACCTGCCCAGTGGCCCAGGGCTCCCACCAGGCTCAGCTCGTGGTCGTGGATGTGAGGGTGAACCAAACTCCAGGGGCACTTTCTGGAAGAAGTGAGAGCCCACACTCTCGCTGGTGTGCATTTTTCCTTTTCTGTTCAATAATGGGCCACCGGAGTGGAAGTCCTGTGGCTGCAGTGACCAGGGGAAGGGAGTGGGGTCCGACCTGGGCTGCAGAGGAGTCCACGCAGCTCTGAAGCACACTCATCCTGCTGGCTGCAGACTGTTGGTGACAGGCAGCCTTGAACTCAGCCTCTCGCTCCAGAACCCAGGAGCCCCTAATCCCCCGGGCCGATGCCCATGTCCTGGAGTTCTCTGGGCTGGCTGGAAGGAGCATGCATTGACCGGAAGCTGAGGGCAGCCCTCGTGCAGTGCCCAACCCCAGCGCCAGTGCAGGGCCACCTTCCCCGAGGGCCCAGCCACTGCTTCTTCCCCAACACCCACACTTGCATGAACCCCAGGTGGCCCTGGCATCCCCTGTGGCATGACAGAGCCGCTGCTGTGTGGCCCTGCCCCTGCTGCCCGCAGCACTGGTGCTCCCCTCCTGGGATGTCCCACAGCCTCCACTGCTCTCACTCCGCCGGGACAGTGTTTGGGCCCAGGGAGGGCGAGTGGGCCCAGGACCCGCGCTCTGTGCATTCCCGACCACCAATGCCAGCCTCCTCCTGTGTCATTCTAGGCCGGACATCCAGGACCTGGATGGCAATGCCCCGTGTCCGGGCTTGGCCAGTGGGAAGCCACAGGACGTGGAGGAGGAGGAGGAGGAGGACTTGGAGGAGGATGACGAGGACAGCCTGGCCGGGAAGTCGCAGGACGACACCGTGTCCCCCGCCCCCGAGCCCCAGGCCACCTATGAGGATGAGGAGGACGAGGAGCCGCCCGCCTCCCTGGCCATGGGCTTCGACCACACCCGGAGGTGGGGGCGGCCGTGAGCTCGGGGACGCGTCGGGGGTCTGAGCACTGCCAGAGCGACCTCCCCTCAGACGCCCCAGCCGGAGCGGGCTTCGCTCCTGCCCCGCTCTGCACCCTCGGCCTCTGCAGGGCGAGGTCGGCCAGGGCGGGGCGTTGGGGCCCTCAGTCCCCACAGCCCTGCAGGCTGGGAGCAGGTGCAGGGAAGAGCAGTCCCCGCTGAGCAGACGCGGAGGCCCCGGTGCCGAGCACCCCGCATGGAGCCCGTGCTGGCCGGAGCCTTCCCCCCACCCCCGTCCTGCCTGCCTGTCACCTAGTGCTGGCCCTAGTGATGCTCCCCTAGGTCCCCCTGGGAGAGGCCCTTCGGAGATGGCGCTTCCTGCTCCTCTGTGTCCTGGGAGGAGGGGCCGTGGCCCTGCAGAGCTGCCAGGAGGCCCCTTCCCAGCCCTCCCACCCAGGGCTGCTGACGCGTGTGCACGCACGCCCCACCTCCGGGGCCCCTGTCCTCCCGCTCCCCCGCATCCATGTGGCTTCCCGTTCAGGTGTCTGTGTGTCCGTGTGTCTGTCTCCTTGTGCATGTGGCTCGTAGAGGCACGGGGGCAAGCATGCAGGCCCGGAGCCGGGCGTGCGGGTCAGAGAGGCGGCCAGAGGCCAGACCGGCTGACACCGGGTCCCTCCCTCTCCCTGGTCATTGGTGCAGGTTTATTGAGGAGCAAGAAGGCGGTCTGTTAGCTTTGGAGCCGATGCCGACCTTTGGGAAGGGGCTGGACCTCCGCAGAGCAGCTGAGGAAGCGTTTGAAGTTAAAGATGTGCTTAATTCCACCTTAGACTCTGAGACTTTAAAACAGTCCCTGTGCAGGCAGGCTAAGAACCAGGTAGGTGCCCGTCAGAGCCCCGCCCCACCTCCACCTGGCTCCGCAGCCGGGGGACATCCCAGCATGTGCCTCCTGCTGGGTCCGTCCTGTGCCTGGGGGAAGCTAGGCCCACTGCCCCGACGCCCACCACCATCGCCTCGGCTAGAGGGAGGCCCCGGCCACTGCGCCCTCCCGAAAGCTGCGTGCAGCAGGGAGGGGCTGAAAGCAGACGGCAGGGGGCAGGACCCCCGTGAACAGCCCCCACCAGAGGTGCTGGTGCACACGTAGATGTGGGCCCCCTCCCTCTGGGCCCCAGAAGGCGGTATCCACGAGCAGGTCCCCCACGCGTCCCGCTGCCTCAGCCTCCCTCCCTCTCTGATCCGCGCCCGAGTGCCCGGCAGCCCGAACTTTTCCCAGGGGAAGCTGCCCAGTCAGGCGGTCCCTGCTTCCAAGCTGGAGCTGGGACCGAGGTCAGCGAGGGCCCCAGGCTTGGCCCCGGGCACTGCTTGTCTCCGCTCCCTAGGGTAGGTGGCCGTAGGACCCTGTCGGGGTCTCACCCAGCTCTCTGCTGCCCTCCCGGAGGGGCCAGGCTCCCCCCCGGTCTCAGCAACAGCCGTCTGCATGTCTGTCTGCGTCTTTTACTAATTCTGTCCAGAGTGTTAATGCGGGTGGGGCGAGCCCTGGCCTTCCTCCCCCACCCCTCCACCCCTCTAACCCGCACACGATGCTCCGAGCAGCCCCTGGGTCTCGGCACCTCCTGTCCTGGGCTTGGGCAGACCCCATGGACGGTCTGATGCCAGGAAACAACCTGCGTTCCCCAGTAATCCCGACCGCTCTGAATGGCCGCACATCCCTTTCTCGGAAGTAACTCTGTGGTGTCACCACAGTCGGCAAAACAGGCGTCCCCTGTCCTCCCAGGCAGAGACTGACTCGTGCAGGCGTGGGGGTCTCAGTGGAAACTGCCCACGAGTCCCAGGGCCCTCCTGGACCAGACACGTGCGCACACGGTTTTGCCGATCACTCGGCAGAGAAAATGGCGGGAGGGAGGGGTGACTGCAGGGGTACACCCCAAAGACGCCGAGGGAGCCCGTGGGCAGGGCCACAGGGTCTTGGTGTTGCTCTGGGTGGGAGGCAGCCTCCCCCCTCCTTGTTCTCAGACCCCCTTGCATCTCCCTCCTTCAGGCGGGGGCAGAATCGGCCTCCGCAGCGCCCTTGCCCTCCCCCGGTGGACCAGGCACACGGCAGGCGGGGGAGGGGTGCGGCACCCCAGGCTCACGTCCCCGGTGTTGTCCTCTCCCCAGGCGTATGCAATGATGCTGTCTCTTGCTGAGGACGCTCCTGTCCACACCCCCGCCCAGGGCTCTCTGGACGCCTGGCTGAGCATCGCGGGGGCCGCGTCGGAGCCCAGAGCCTTTAACCCCATCAACCACCTCTGACAGCCGGGAGGCCCTGGGGTCAGAGTCCAGAGTGAGGGCGCCAGCTTGGACGGCAGCGGCCAGGCCAGCCAGAGCCCCGCGCACCTGCCCGGGCCCACTCCTCAGCCTCCGCGCGCCGCCCACGCAGCTCAGTTCTGACTCTTCCAACGAAAACTCAGACCCGAAAGTTCCGGAAGCAGCTGGAGAGCTTCACCGTCGCCAGGGACGGTCCTGAGAACACTGCTCGGTCGGTCCAGCTCGCGCCGTCCGTCCGGGACCACCCTGGGAGCTGCCTCGCAGAATCAGCCCGGCGGGCGAGCAGGACCTTAACCCAAATCGGAAGTGGAAGGGAACGGATAGTGGCGGAGTGCTCTAGAGAGAAGGATCTCGCCAATGATTTTTATAACGAAAATGGCAAGAATAACCTTTTTGGTAACCTTATTGACTACAGAGTCTATTTAAGCATGTGGTTTTAAAAAATAGACAGTATTTTTTAAAAATCAAAAAAATGACTTGCAAATTGTTTTTTAAAAGTAATTTTGCATTGCTTTGAAATTTCAGCTTATTTGCAAACCCAAGTCTGCCTAGGAACCAGCACTGTGCTTGGGTATGTTCTTTATACTGTAGATAATGGAGAAATTTTCTATCCCTGACCTGTTTGTATAAGCCAAGGTGATCCCAGAGGCAGAGCAAAGGGCCTGGGGCCGCTGCTGTGAACAACGTGGAGACTCTGCCAGGAATTCTGAGACCCAGTGCCCTGGGCTGCAGGCTCGCCCGCACCGGGGCTGGAGGCATGCCCCCCAATTACATGGGGAAGTCGGGGCTGTGGCGCCCATCCCCCACACAGGGGTGTGCTGGGCCCCTCCTCTTCCCACGGTCCTCGGCCTGCGCCTCGGCCACCCCCATGCTGGCCCTGCCGCCGATCTGAAGGCAGGGCCCGGGCCACGTCCTGGGGCTCCAGCCTCCCACCCGCAGCTGCCCTGGGGACCGTTCCCAGGTCCACTGCTCCAGGCCACCGAGCTCCACCTGTGCCTGAGACTCCAGACCCGTGACGCAATCACCACGTCCGCTCTTCGTGCAGGTTCTCGGGAGCTCGAGCGCAGACGGACGTCCAGGGAACCCGCCGGGAAGAGCAGAGACAGACAGCGCAGCCCTGGCGACGACCGGCGCCTCCTTCCCGGGACGCGCCTACTTCTCCATCCGGACAGGCTTTAAGTTATTCCCATAGGGGCCAATTTCAAATGATAATTTTTTTCCCTGATGGAATTTCCCTTAATCTGTATATAACTTGTAATTTTTTCTAATTCATTTCTTTTCTTATTTTATTTCTTCTTTAACAGTATTTTTGGCATTAGACATTCTTATTGTGAAGAAATAATGTTAATATAAGTATCTAGTGAAGGACCAAAACTGCGTAATAAGGTTGTGTGTTGTGTGACCGATAACCAGGGAGTGGGGCGACTTTTAATGTGCCAAATACCCCGCCCGCCCCCCGTGAATCCTGCTGTCACCGCTGCCGTTTACCAGACAATCATATGTTTTTGTTAAATTTGCGTTTCAGTTGCATTTAAGACAAGTGTGCTATTTATTTCTTTTATTGTTTGGAAGGAAAAATGATAATAGTGTCCCAACACGAAGAGAAAAAAATTGCCTATGTTGCCCCGTAAAAAAAGAAAAAAAGGAGCAGAAATCCAAACAGGTGTGGCGCGAGCCACGTTGGTGTGGATACGTGTCTCGCCGTGGACATCTCCTCTGTGTTTGTCCCCGGGGCAACAGGAGGTGTCTGAATGGGAGCACCCCATGCCCGCCCCAGCCGCTCTAGGCCAAAGACAATCGTCTCTGTGGGTGCCGGGCGCCCCGGCTCACACCGGCGACCCTCGACGGGAGGTTCCTGCAGGTCCTGCCAGCCCACGGCTCCAGTGGAAGGATCCTCGCTTGCCATGTCTGCACGGGGCGGAAGGATGGGGACCGCCTGTGCGTGCGCTGAGGCCACGCGTGGACTGGAAAGACACCCTCGGGCAGCCGGGGGAGCTGCGTGCGGAGAAAGGGCCGTGGCCACGTCGGTAAGGATTTAGGATTTGCAAACACAACCGCTCGACCCTCCGCGAGAGCATCCGTGACGTTCCCTGGGTCAGACCCACCAGGATCGCGTAGGAATTTCCCATTTCCCCTCGACCTAGATGGGATTCTTGTAAAAATTCAGCCTCAGATATAAACACCCCATTTCTGTAAACCCAAATTATATGATTTCTTCTTCGAAAGAATAAGGCGTGTGCTTTTTTTTGCGATGTGACTCTCTCTTTCTGAAGGGGGGAATGTGGACGGATGGAAGCCGAGTGCGTCTCTTCCGCAGTAGCAGGACGCAGAAGGGCCCCTTCCCCTCGGCCCTCAGATTTCCTGGTCAGACTCTGTCACTTTGGGCCGATCTTCACAAGCATTCTCTGTTCTCTGACTGTTCTGTTCTTCCGCCTTCCCTGGAATCCTGGTCACACATTTTAAGTCATATCTTTGTCCCCTGTACACGATGGCGGAGAGCCCAGCTGCTCTCAAGACTCGGCTCCCCGGGCCCCCTGACGAGAAAGCACTTACTCCTGGGGCCGATGTACCCCCGAAACACCCCACGTGGCGCCAGCCCCCGCAGCCTGGCCTGCCTCTGCCCCGGGGCCGGCCAGCCGTGCCCAGCCCTCCCAGGCCGGGAGAGCCCTGCGGGCGAGGGAGCCTGGGCCCCCTGCAAGGGCCCTGAGGTCCCGGCCTCCAGATCACCAGGCTGGGGCAGGAGGCCACGTTGCCATGTGCTCTGCGCGGACAGGACAGGGTGGCAGCTGTCTGGCTGGTCACCGTGTCTGTGGTAGGTGGCCTGGGCCAGGGCCCTCAGCTGCTGCCTCTCGTTCCCGAGACAGAAATTTGGAAGGAGGCTCCTCTCGCCTTCCCTCTGCTGCCCACAGACCCCCGCCCCCAGCAAGCTAGCACCCTCACCTGGTTCCTGTGCTCGTTCCCAGGACGACTGGGGAGGATAGGACACGCAGGGCTGTCCTTCCTGTGGGCCAGGCAGACCCTTCGTGAGTGGGACCCAGAATGTCCCTGCTTCAAACCCAGAGGAGCAGGTCCCTGCACCCTGCCTGGGACCCCAGGTGTGGAGCAGTGGTCAGAGGGCGAGCTCAGGCGTGGCCTGAGACACTGCCCGGCCCGAGGGGCCACGAGTGCAGCTGGTCCGTGCAGACCCTGATTGGCCCGACACCTCTGCGTCCCCAGAGTCCGGCCCTGGGAAGTCAGAGGGCCCTTGGCTCCCGCTGCCCTATCTGCTTCCCGAGCGAGCGTGTGCAAAGCACTTGCCTAGATACATATCACGTGTTTTAGACTCAGAGCCTCGAAGCACTGGATTGTGTCCCATCCCGGTTCCCTGTCCCCTGCCCAAGTGACTGAAACCTACTGAGCTGACCTCACTGCGCTGTCCTACGGGGGAGGGGGAGCTTGCCCCTGCACTGCGGCCCGGGGGGAGGGGGGCGGGGACGGCACTCCCCCCGGCCAGGGACGCCAGGACACAGCGGCTCCTGGTCTGCGGCGGGCCGCCGGGTGTCAAAAGCCATGAAACTGTGTCTCTGTAGCACGAATGATACTGTGACGAGGACGTTCTTGCGTTCTTCTGCGAAGAGTTCCTTTGCTCCTTCCATTCCGTGGTTTCGTTTTATTCTTTTCTGTCACTGACTCACATGACCACTTTTGGAAAAAATAAATAAAGGCAGCTTGAGTTTCCAAACGTGCAATTCACTCATGAACAAAAGTCATTCTAATGGTCTCCTTCAGCTGTGGCTTGCGTCGACACGGGGGAGGTTGAGCCCTGGTGTGCGAATATGTAATTTAAAGTGTGTGTGTGCGCGTGTGCGTGCATGCGTGCGTGCGTGCGTGTGTGTGTACACTTTGTAACTTAAAGTATATATATGTAATGCCTGCTAGAGTCCCGGACCTGAGCATCCCATGCCCATCTCTCGCCGTTGTTACATTGCAGATTTGGTTCGGTTTTGTTTTTGTGTTGTTTTGTTCTTTCTTTTAGAACTGTATAGTGTTGAAAACGAAATCAACTGTAAATGTCCGGTTTCCATATGATGTTTTAAAAAAACCATTGCGAAGGAGGCTGGTGCCGGCCTCACGCCCCTTGGACTGTAAATGGCTTGTTGTGTTCATAAGTAAACTGTGCATGACGCGTGTTTAGCGGTCATTGTGTCTGTTCGTGACATTTTTATTAAGAGGAAAATCCCGTAGACGCACTTACCGACTGTGTGGTGAGGGTCGGCGCTCGCGACTAGGAGTCCCGCCCCCGCCAGCGCGACGGGGACGCCGTTCCTGATTCACGGGGAAGTCGCGATGAACGATGAACTCAGAGGACAGGAAGCGTAGGCAATGATTAAAAGAGCAATTTTGCAACTTTCATTCTGATGCTTGTGACAAAGACAGATGCGCTTGTGTAGAGACGCTGCGCCGAGGGGAGCCCAGGAGCGGCTGGCGCCGAGCTTCGTGCTGTAGAATAGGACCGTATACCAAATGTACTCTTTCCGACGCCACAGTGAATTCATACATGAGATCGATATGCAATAAATCTGTGTGCTTTTCTAAGCCTCGCTGCGCTCCATTGTGGGGAGGGAGGGAGGAGTGAGTGGGGCTTGACTCGGGGGTCCTAGGGGCAGGCTCTGGTGCAGGTGAAGCCCCCTCCCTACCGCACTGCCGGGGCAGGCGCCCTGGCTGTTCCCATTTTGCAGAAAAGAACAACCTCGGGAGGGCACCAGCTACCCTGGACGGCCCCACAGTGAGCGGCGACCTCCGGGTGTGGCCACCCTCAGGCGTGGCAGCCTGCAGGCATGTCCTCCGGGTGTGCCTGCCTCCACGCGGCATCCCCCCGTGGTGGGGGGCCCATCTCCTGTGGCCTGTCCTCAGCCCACCCCTCCCAAAAGTGGGCCGCCCTCACTAGCCTTCCAAGGAGGCCGTGTGCACCCCACCGGGACCTGGAGCTGCCCCGACAGGTGCTG